TTTCTTTCTTTCTTTCTTTCTTTCTTTCTTTCTTTCTTTTTCTTTCTCTCTCTCTCTCTCTCTCCCTCCCTCCTCCCTCCCTCCCTCCCTCCCTCCCTCCCTCCCTCCCTTCCCTTCCCTATTCCTCTTCCTCTTCCTCTTCTCGGCATCAGGGAAATCCAAATCAAAACCTCAATGAGTTACCACCTCACACCAGTCAGAATGGCTAAAATGAACAAGTCCGTGAACTGGTTTCTAACTTCACTGATCTCACTCCTTGATCTTTGTCCTGTTCTAACTTGCCAAAACAACACCACACCTTTCCCCACCAAAGGGCACTGACTGCCCTTTGATCACTTTTCTGATAAAAGTCAGACTTCTGGGACTATAGGGTCCTTCACAAGGTAAAGTTAACCTTATTCTTCTAAAAGGTGGCTACTCTTTCTCTTTCCTGAATCAAACTCATTTCTCTTCTGTGCATTTACTTAGGCCCCGTGCTTAACCTCTAGATCAAATGTCCTTTCACCTCGTTAGGCTCCCACACCCATAACCCAAACTCAGAGTGGCTCTAGGAATGGTTTCTCCCCTTTCTGAAGATCTGTGGCACTAACTTTTGTAGTTTGGTACTCAGCTATATTCAGTTCAGTTCTTTGTTACACACTGTCTTAATTTCTCTTTTGTATGTCTTGGCTTTGAAATAAACCAAGATGTGGCAGGTTGCCATGTGATTTCTTCATGTCTGATACAGCACCTAGCACAGTGCTAAGCACCTTGTAGTGCTAAGTGTGTTTTCTGTGTTGCATGTGCTTGCTGAAGTTGGTCCACACTTTTCCTTCTCTAAGAACGAAGAAGATGCACAAAGGCAACTAATGTAATATTTTATATTTCTTAAAGACTTAGATCTAGAATAGCAACAGAACCTGTAAGCAAAGGTATACACACACACACGCACACACACACACAGCCAGTGATTAAAGTAGAAACATCAGAAGTTGCCTGTGTGATTAAATCACCCTTCAGAGGTGGGCAGCGGGGGAGCAAAATTATGCAGGACATATGCCACTTGCAGGATCTAACTTAAGCTGAGCAGAGGAAAGAGACAAAGGTGAAAACACACTTAAAAAGAGACAACACAGAGGGAGGGTATGGAACAGAGATCAGATGTGATCGCTGAGCCTGGCAGTAACTAGTAGATCTGGTACAGGGTAAGAGAAGGACCACAGAGTTAGCAGGCACAGTAGTGGAAGGCCATAGGATCCCTTGTTACGGGATTTCTCCTCTGGGTGATAGTGATTATGTCCCAGTTCTATTATCTTCCATTATATTTTTAATCATGTACCTGTAATTCCCTTTTTAAAAATTTATCATGATCCCTATTATCATTTTTTTAAACCAATAAGATATGCACTTTATGTGACATATTGTTTGGGTTTTTCGTTTTTCGTTTTTTATGTGTTTTTTTGGTGGCCTTCCTTGATGTTCAGTGAGTTCAAGGCTCCTCTATAGCGATCATGCAGACCTCTAAACACAGGACAGACTGGGTTAGGGGAGAGCACAGGGGCAAATTCAAAATCTCTGGAGACAGTTGGTAAACAATTGTAGTTCTCACCCCCACTTAAAAGCAGACCTCAAGTTGAATGACAATTGATGAAGTATTGCTAAAATCCCTTCCAGTCTTTTACTATATTTTCACCATTATCTGTTATTTGGGCTTCTAGCATTTTCATCATCAACATTGTGAATTACAGGCGCACAAACATCAAGTATACAGTGTCACCCAGTAGACTAAACTTTGTGAAGATGGGCACAGTTCTCATCTCTCCTCATTGCCTTGGACACATAGCTGGAACTCAATAAATATCAGATGAATGAAAAATATCCCTTGGATATAACAAGTACTCCAATGTATGATGATATGGATGGAAAATATATGTAGATACCTTTGCACTCCAGAGACATTATCCGCAAGGGCAGAAGACCCTAGAACTTTTAGTAGTCTCTGTATCCCGGGGTCCTCTCCAAAGCTTGTAAACACTGCAGTGTGCACTGCAAAGTTAATCTAGGTATTGAAGTTAAGATGATTATAAAGGTCACAGCCGAGTTAAGTGGTATTTTTGTGATTGAAACACAGGTTAGTTTACATGACATACTTCGTTTACTAGAATACCAGGTAGTTGGGGTAGGTGGCTAATCATGTTTTATACTTTTTTTTCCATTAAAAAAAATAGAAGCTTTTCTTGAGGGGTGATTTAAACATTTTCATATACTCTTGGAAGAATTGTAGGTTCTAGACAGTTTTCCTATAGGTCCTAATAGAATTGTCCTGTGAAGACCAATTTTTCTCAGTTTGACCTCATATTTGGTATATATATTTTGCATACCTTAATTACTTGTCTTCCATTTTCTAAGGGGGAGCTAATCTCAAATATAAACCATTTACATTCTAAGAGTATAATTTGTTTCCCTTATTAGAATAATTGTGGCTTAGAGCCCAAAATGTAAGAAAATATATTAATGAGTAACTCACTGCCCTTTAATTCTTACTTATTATGAGTAGAACTGGAAGAGAAAAAAGGCTGAGGGCACATCTGCCTGAGGAATAGTTCATAAGAAGGTCATTTTAGCAAAGTGTGTTCTTATCTCCTACTGAGCTTTGGAAAAATGCAGAGGAGGAATGATCCTGGCATGTGAGAAAAGTACACACCTAGATTATAATGTGGCACAGAAAATAGCCCCCCCCCTTTTTTTAAATTTACTTTCCTCAAAATTAAAGAGCCCTATGGCATCTTGTTGAATTCCCCCTTCCTATTTGAACCTTTTCTTCCTCTGGAGATATTAGTCTCTCAATCCTGCATTCGCCCTTTCTTTATTCTCTACTCACCCTTCCATTATGTTGTTGTTGGTAACAATCACAAATTTACAGAAGAGGTGAAGGGACAGTAAAAGAATCTTCCATGAAGCATTTGAAAGTAAATTCCCAAGCTGATGCCCCAT